CGTCCGATAACTTTTGGGGCTTGCGCATCTTGAGCAAGTCATTGTGGTCTTTATCTTTTGCCGTACAATGAATAAAGAAAATCAGCGTTGCTGATCTTGTGCACCCTACTATGTTTGTACGAGGTGTTATCTTTTAAAAGAGACATATACGCGTCTTATTAAAAACTTTAGCATTGTTTTCAAGAAAAACTTTATTTGGCGAAAACACGCAAAATTTTTACTAATTTTGGGCTAATATAAAATTTTGTAAATATTTCGTTGAATAATTTTGCAAAATTTTGTTTCCTGCAAAAATGCACAATAAAAATGTCATATTTTCTGCAAAAACAAAATTTTGCAAAAAGTAACAAAACGATTATCGACAAAATTCTGCGTTAGTTGACCTTTTTGCAAAATTTTGTACACAAGTCGCTCTTTTCTGCGTTATTTCAATGTTTAACGCAGAAATTCGCTGAAAAATTTCTACATGGGTGGTGTCCGATAATCTTGATTTGAAATAATTAAAACGCGACAGGTGTGTAGTCACAACACTAGTCGGGACAGTCGTCCTCACCCGTCTTTTTCTGCTGCGTCCGGACGTCGTCATCCCGTCCAAAAGTGGCACTTTGTTCACACCTTTGCTGGCCTCAATCACCCGTCCGAGGCCAGAAAACGGACTCCACGTATTTTGTTTACCTGGATTGTTACAGTTAAAAGCACTTTTAATTTACAGGGTGTCGCAAAAGTTCAGCGGGAAAAAAATCTTAATAACTCCGCCATTTCTTAACCAAACTTCAAGGTCGCCTTTTTGTTTGATAGAGAAACGTTCCAAGTTTTATTTCATACGATTGGAAATTTTTGTATAAAAAAGGATCAGTACGGAAAAATAATAAAATTTACAACATATGTTTTCTGTTTAAGTACTTGTAATAGTGCGTAAAGATTGTTGAGTTTGTCATAATTAAATGGAATCTTTGTCAGAATCGCATTACGTCTCATTTTGTAGAACTCAGGTTGCTCTACAATCCCACATATTCAAATGTTTTGTCCATCTTAAAGTTTTACCACAAGAAGTTAATTTCTCCATATTAACATGATCTGGGGATTGCGACTTCTGCAATAGCCAAATACAACCTTTTACAGGCTTTCAAACTATTCCAGTTTATAAGGCTACCTTCTTTCTATAGAATTCCACTAGTAGTTTTTCCTTTTATTAGTTAACTTTATCTAAAAAATGTTTTTATTACTTTTTTGCACTTTTCCAGATGTTAGTATGGAATAACAATACCTAAAGAAATGCACACCAACCGGTCATTTTTAAACAAAAGCAAATTCTTATTTCATTATGTGAAAGTCGTCATCATCTACTTTATTTTAATATTAAAAATTATTTATGTTCTGTTCAAAAAGTTTTGCAGCACATAATTTATTAAAAACGAGTTCCAAAATATTTGAATTTCACTATAATAAACCGAGGAATATTAACAAGAGTTTCCAATCGTACGAAATAAAACTTGAAACATTTCTCTATCAAATAAAAACACAACCTTTAAGTTTGGCTAAGAAATGTCGGAGTTATTAATCATTTTTTTCTCGCCTCACTTTTGGGACACTCTGTATTACAAAATTACAATCACTTAAATTAACTTATACAGTCGCAACTACAAAAACAAAAACTAATAATAATAATAATAATAATATGTTTTTCTTTTTTCAGTTTTAATAGAATCGATCATTTAGAGAAATTGATCAAAAAATACCGAAACCTACAAAGAATTTTATTCTTTGAAACAATAATAACAATACAGCATTCAAACGTTGCACTTTTCGAACACAAGTATGACAACCATTATGATCATCACGTATTTTTAATCTTTTGAGTGCAGAAATCATCATATACATACAAAGAATGTCTATAATTTGACTGCAACTTTCATCCAATTCTATAACATTGGTTATTTTTAATAACAACATACACCAGAATATTGAGGCATCGAAACATTACAAATTTTAGCCTCATATTCACGTTTCTATTAGATAATTCTAGTTGTTTCATATGATTGAAGTTGAAGTGAACACTTTTGTATGATACGATCGAAAATATTTGTCCATTTGTCTTCTGACTGATACATATGTGTTAAAAGTACGTACACAAGAACGTAATACATTTAAATTTATTTGATACATGCATATCTCTGTAAGAAACGAAAATAAAGTGTGTTTTAGACTGGCTATGGGTTTCTTTCATAAGAGCCGATTTTTCATGACCTGTTTCATTAAACTTTTGGGGATTTTTCTTACATTTAAATATACGTGTACTATCATCAAATTTTTTCATTTTTAATCTTCAGTTAAAAGTTTTGGATTTCCGCCCCAAAACTTTCGGTTTTGTTCAAAATTTCATGTTTTTTGACTAACGGGGGAAGGTCCCTAGCTGATATTCTCCGATTTCGATGATCTTTTGCCTATTTTCCTAAGAGACAAAATGACGATCGAAAACCGGGTTCTGCTATGCCCTAAAAAAAGTGTTGCCTACATTTCAAGACGAACCTGAAGTTTGTAGCACTTAAATAGCGGATAAATCTTGGAATTACTCAATACTACAAGACAAAAATCGATGTGGAGAAACGGAAGATAAGGGGAAAAGCTGAGTTTTAGGTGCTCTTAGAAAAATGCTTATGACTTTTGATGGGGATATCGTACAGTTTTCAACGACGTCTCATTCTGAAGAGAACACTTTTCTCATATGAACAGGCGTTTAAAAAGATTATTGTTGGTCAGCATACAAGTGGACGAGTTTTGGAAAGTAAACAATGACGAATTAGAACCTCCAGTAGCTCCAATCTTAAAAAATCCATAACTTTTGAAAGAAGAGCTATACAACCAAATCCTCTGAAGGTTAGGACTAGAACATCATATAGTATCTATCGGCAAAAGAACATGGAAATCGGAGGGTATCAGCTACGAACCCTCCCTCGCGAAGTCTTTTTTTTCCGGATTTTGCCAACTGCCCGTTTCCACGCGTCTGAATGAGGCAGAAAAGACAGTTGTTTCACTCTATTGTACCAGCACATCTCTGTGCAGCTCATTGCATATGATATGTGTGAAAAGAAAATTTCCACTCGGCCGCGGACAGCACAGACATGCCCAGGATCACGGGATATTCTAGGTCCGCTAAGATCTCTACTCACGAGGCAACATTTTACCACTATTTTGAATAAAATCCCAGAATCACAATCATTCATATAAACAGATGTGTGAATATGAGTACAAATGTTAGGCCAGCATGCTGCCTTAGAGAGTTGCTCGATCAAACGAGCCATTATAGTACAGAAATGCCACTTACTAGTCAAAGTGAAATTTTGGATCAACTCTTATGATTTGATTATTAGTATCCATTAATATGATCATCACATAAATAAGTAAATCATATGATAACTTTGTTATATCTCAGATGTTCAAATGATCTCCTTTTGAATCATGAAGACGGATTGGGTGACGTTCATTAAAAAAAGTTTCATAAAATAATTTTTAATGGAATTAGCCGAACCTTTATTAAAATGTCTCCTGCAAAATGGGTGTGACCTAGAGTTTTTGATGGCACAAGAATTTCATTAAAAATTTTAATGAACTTCCTTTTAATGAAAGGTTTTTTAATGAAACTCCGATATTCCGTGAACACATATACCATAAATTTTAATACAAATCCAAATTCGATCACGATTATTCATTGTCATTTTTGTACCACTATACAAATGAATTTTGTTTATGAGTAATGTTTCGATCCAACCATGTGCTGATACCTGTGTATTACCAGAAGAATAAATTTGACCATCGAACTGTGATAGTATAAAGAAATACTTATCATTAATATATTTTAATCCATGTGGTGACACGTCCGATGTTTGAATAATATTAACTTGGATATAGTTTATTGAAGAATTAAATTGAAATAAAACTTAATAAAAGATTATTAGAGAACACAATGATCAACATATGTTGAATAATAATCATATCTCTTATATTAGAAAAGCTGCAGCCGACCATATCCATAACAAATGTCATACTTTTATCAAAAACAGTTTGGTTAGCATACCAAAACTTGATGATTTTTTTCTAGAGAAGCGGTATTTGGGATTTTTACATATTCAGTTACGTTATACAGCGCAAAGATCTCGTCGGGGTATACGCAATTTTGGAGTCTCCGAAGCCTCATTTAGGATACTACAGTATTCAACGGTATAGTTTATTGTTCAACTTCAAACATGCCGCATTTTATTCGTTCTGCTTGTAATGTCATTTTTCTTTCTGCCTGATATTTTTCCCTTTTATACGAACATATACAGGCAAATATAGAAAGGAATAAAGTGAAAACTGAAAAAATTTTATCTTTTCCTCGGAATGTTCACTACACTCACTTCTACATTCTGTCAACTTGATAGATTAAAATAAAATTAACTAGAATGTATCCTCTGCGTTTTCTACGTCAATTTGACGTACAGGTCAACTCTTATGATTTGAGAACAGATGATTCCCTGTATAGGCAGAAAAAAAAATCTCTTTAGAAATACTTCTTTCCTTTGTATCTAAATGAAATTAATGATCATAAAATATCGCTACTAGAATTTAGCGCCGATGAATCCAAATCTATTTCTCGTTTGTCAGACGTCAGGCTATATTCAGCATAATTATAATCCACTGATTTCTGCACTTAAAAGATTAAAAATACATGATGATCATAATATTAGTCATACTTGTGCTTGAAAAGTGCAACGTTTGAAAGCTGCATTATTATTATTGTTTCAAAGAATAAAATTCTTTGTAGGTTTCGGTATTTTTTGATCAATTTCTCTAAATGATCGATCATATTAAAACTGAAAAAGAAAAACATATTATTATTGTTATTAGTCTTTGTTTTTGTAGTTGTAGCTGTGTAAGTTAATTTTACATATGACTTATAAAGAAGTGTCTGTAATTTTGTAATAAGTTAAAAGTGCTTTAAACTGTAACAAGAATAAAATATGCCATCTACTACCAGAAATTATAAAATACGACCACGAGATCGACAAAAAGTTAAAAGAGCACATTCTCTCAATCGAGTGAGTAAGAAATGCCTGTTTGAAGCTAAGTTGTTATATTTTCAAGTATCTGATTTACATTTAAGAAACATAGAATATCACCATCTAAAGTTCAACTGAATCTTGACGATTTGGAAACTATACCAAATAAATCGTATGTATTTTTGAAGAATAAAAAGTTCAATTGAAAGATTCAACCTTCTAGGTTAAACATATGATGCTACTGATTATAGAAGATTAAAATATCCTCTGTTACATTTTGCGTGTGTCTTACGATTAAGGAATTATAAGAAAACAGATTAAATAAATCATTTTTGCACCGTTTTTAATACGAAAATATTTGGCGTGAAAACACTTCGATCTAAATCTACAGCCTTGAAGTATTCTGAGCATCCGTAATTTCTTATATTGATTGTTAATGTGCGATATTTTCGTAGATTTTTACCTAATTAGCTAGTTTCCTGATTTGTTGGCCCTTTCGTTCTTTTTATGGATTTAAAACAACAACAACATGTTAATACTTTGATTTCTGCGACTTTTAAATAAAAAATTTAGCCTATTTTTCTGCCTATTAAACATTTAAAAAGATCTAGATCTATTTTATGGATTTAGGAATAAAAGGAAATATATTCTGGGTATTGGTGCTGGTACATGCTGTTGTTTAGCTATTTGTGCTGCAGCAATTATTCCAGCTATTCTACTTACACAAAACAATTACAATAATAATTCACAAGATGCATCAACAAGTTCAATTAATGGAAATATGACTTCCACTACGGTAATAAAGAAGAATAACTTTTAAAATTAAGACTAACTAAGTCTTTTTCTTGTAGGCAAGCAGTGGTATTACTTCGGTCACAACACTGGTAAGCTCAAAAGTCTTAGTCTTGATTTCTCTTTTTTGATTAGTCAATAAATATGTACTTTTAAATGCAAGACTAACTAAGTCTTTTCCTTGTGTTTGTAGGCAAGCAGTGGTATTACTTCGGTCACAACCACGGTAAGATCAAAACTCTTAGTCTTGATTTCCCTTCTTTGATTAGTCAGTAAATATGAATTTTTAAAGGCAGTAACAACAACAAATGCAGCTGGCTATTCGTATGTAGCTAGCATCGATTTAGCTTGTCAACCATATTATTGCGGTGACCGTTTAGACATATCAACTACTGCCAATTTAACAAATTTAACTATTATTATTATTGTTCAAAAAACCGTTGGTGCTACATATAAGACTACGACATACGATACTGCACAGTCACTTATACAACAAACGAATAGTGATAATGGTACAACAATTACTTATACATGGACACTATTACCAGGAATGATATTTCCAATAAATCAGTCCCCGCTTACAGTTGAAGCACAATTTGATTTATATGGTACATCACAAAACACAACGGGAGATACGTTCAGTATCATAGCCCAAGGAAATGGTGTAACAACTATGAGCACCGGACATTTTTAGCGTACATTTAGTTTCTTTTTTTGAATGAATTGGAGGCTTTTCCATCTTCTTTTTTTCTAAAGAAACAAAAAAAAAACATTTATTTAATCAAATCTCAAAACCTTTTAATGAGCGGCGCCCTTCCAATGTAAAGAATTAATAATAAACATGATGATTAGTTTTTAGTGTTGGTTAGTTGTGTCAAACGGACGACTTCTCTTGATACAATTTAGTGCCAAAAGTCCATACATACTTTTATTCGTAGAACAAATTTTTGTTATTATCATTCGATAAACTACTTTATTTAGTTCGCCATAGAGAAAGTCATTAAAGAAATTGTATCGAAAAAAGTCATCATTTAACTAATAGCGCTCCTATTCCAACGGGCTCTAAGTGGTAATTTCTTTTTATTGAACTAATATATAAAAAAGCTAGCTAATATGGGACTAGCGTACAAAATTACAAAGCGATTAATGTCTTTATTCTCTAATTAAATGTCCGTTTATAGATTCTTCTTTTTCTTCTATACGAATGATATTACTGCGTCAATCTTTTTACCCTGTCTCGCAACTATATAGTGAAGCTATAGTTCGAGCCCGGCTGAGCTTTTAGTATATGCGATCTTTTAAAACTACGCCACTGCGCGAAATAAAAAAGTTTGTAAGAGGCACTTCTCTTTCAACGGATTGTGCCAGGGCTGGGCAAGTCCAACTCCGGAATTGAGGATTTTTTTGGTGGGGTTGGAGTTGACTTTGGCGGAATTGGAGTTAAGATTTTAGTAGGTTGGAGTTGGGTTTTTGAATATTTATTCTCAACTCCGTTTTGCATTTTGGAAATATTCAATAGTTGTAAACTGATCTTCTAAACGATTGAGTGGCTGTATTCACGAGTGAATTCGGAAGTTCTTGGTGCTTTTCTGCCGGAAAAGCTCAAAAACATCCAGAATCCTGCTAAAAACAGAAAAATCTTCCGTACAAAAGTGAAGCAACCGGACGGCTTGTCCTAGCGTGAAGCTGTGACATTTTGAATTTGAGCTTTTCTCAAAACGTGTAACAACCAGAAACTTCGTTCTTGCGCCATACTCTACTTTTGTTATAAAAATGAAGATATGTGGTTAAAGACTCAAATTTTTAGAACCGTTTTTCGGCGCGTGACGCTGTGACAAAAAAAGGCCCTAAATTCGAAGTGCTTCGCGTTAAAAGTTAATTTGCCGCGAATTTAGAAGAGTTAATAAAAAGCGCCTCGACCAAAATTTGTAAAGGAGCAAACGAGCTACTGATTGCTAAAAAAGAATCTTTCGAACGAGCTTTCCATTCCTCAACAATTGTATTTTATCGTCGTGACACTGTGACACACTTTTTTTCCCAACAAAGTTTGGAGCACTAAACATTGCTCAAAGGATTTCATTTTCACATCAAACTTAGTTTTAGGCATCGGATATAGGCTAAAGTGAAAATAAAGCTGAAAAAATGTTTTCACTTTCTTAGAATTGTGTGAGAATGTTAAAACTTAGGACTTTATTAAAAAGCTTGTTCTGAATTTAAACTTCAAAACAAACTTACCATCTTATAGAGAATCGAATTCTCCATCGATTAGTATGATTTTCTTTTTTTATTAGGAAAAGTGTCTAGGTGAGGAAATTGAAAATACAGTTTTCAAAAAATGTAAAACTGAATTTCTGGTGCCAAACTTTAACTTTTTTAGAAAACTAATGTGAGATTCGTAATCAGCGCCACAAGTTGCATCTACCGATATGCTCCTCTGGGTTCTACTCTAAAATAATTTTTTCAAAAACTTGATCAGCGAAGTTGACTGCAACAGCATGCATGTGTGGTTATTTCTTACAGTTTCGTTTCCACGTTAGATAAGGAACATTCACATAGAAGAGTTTTTCTAAATTTTTACAAAAGTCTGAATTACGCCGAATGTGCCGACAGTTCAGTAGGTTGCCCAAAGAATGCCTGCTACATATGTACTTCATAAGAAAGTACTTTGCACTCTTGAATGAAACTCTCAGTAATTTGTATTATCAGTCGACTTCAAGAACAAGTGAATAGAGTCAGCATGTAGACAAGCTCATCGCCTTTCTAAGACGTATTTGGGAAAGTCACTTTGGTAATTCCAAAAACCAATTCTTGTATCTCGCAATGCGAAGAAATAAGTCTTAGTTTACTGATGCCAACAGAACGCCCTACACCCCATTCTTGTCTTTCTCTAGATAGAACGGACAGTTAATGCCAGTAGTATATCTCAACCACTAATGATTTTAAAGAATGTATTCTTAAATGATTGATGAGTGAGACTTAAATAATACTAAGGCATCACGTGGAACACAGATGGAATCGGTTCGGTTTGAAACTTTTTCGATTCGATTTGAGAAATTTCTTACTCCCTGAGAGGTTTGATTCTATTCCAGCTACTTTTTGTTTGAAGACTGAAAAAGAACATCTGAAAAAGGACTACTGCGCGAAAGCTAGATGTCGTTCTTAATGCAGTCAGTTTAACATTTGTCTGATTGAACTCTCGTATATTCAAATGATAAATTGTTTGACTCTTTCTTTATACATTCATTATCCATAGTTGTTTGTAACACTGAGCGCTTCTATTCCTACCCTGTCATATTCAAACTACGTTTCTTCTTCTGTCTCTGTATAGTCGACGAGTTCTCCTTTTCCTGTATTATCTGCTTAACGGGATCAGAGATCCATAACAGAAACGATCACGCTTTGTCTCAAATACAAAACGCAGGAATATAAGGCGCTTACTATCATCGATATTCTGGTTAATAGTTAATTGATTTGAAATTAAGAGTGTCGTGAGGCATGCACCGTTTGACTTCGATTTTTTCTCGTCCGAAGCAAACTGCTTTTACCAGATAAAGATATTCTGTAAAGCTTCACCAACGCCTTCTGACATAAAAAATCCAGAGGGTAAGTAGAGCTACCATGATTGCGATTTCGACTCCCGCTCAAGAAGTCTCATCAGATGGCTTGATGTTCGGTTCACTCTCTGTGATACAAATCTGTTATTCAGTGAAGTTGAACATTATGAAAGGACATTGATGTCTCGCATACCTCGAATTTATGATCATTGCGCTCCTTCCGCTTTACACTTAGGATAAAAAAAGTTATTCCCTAGACTGAAAGGATAGGGTCTAGAATCGTGAATGTGTGTCTGTGTGTAACATTTTGGCATTAATTAACATATTCTTGGGGTTGAATTTTCCTCTTTTTTGGCGTTAAATTCTATAGAGTCCTCTGGGGTAATTCGGATCAAGAATTTAAATTGTTTTCTTTCGTTCTCATTCATTTTACATGATAGAAAAGTGATTTTTGGACCAGAACTATTATCGTTTTCAAAAAGCAATGTCCCTCACTAAATTTTGAATAACTCCGCCATAGAAAGAGATATCAATCTCCGGTTTTCGCAGATCGAAAAAAGTGTTGGCTACACTTT